GACTCTATGATTGCCAAGGCAAGGGAGAGGGAGATAGATCTGGAGCACATTCGGAAGAGGAAGGCGGAGGAGGGGCATGTTATGGGGGCTTCGAGGAAGTAGCCCAAGGGATCAGATGCGGGGCCGAAAGGCCAACAGGGGCGGGGTCGTTGCAGGAAATGCGGCAAGACGCACGAAGGAGCGTGCAAGTTGGGATTGTCAGGCTGCTACAAGTGCGGCAAGTTAGGGCACTTCAGCAGGGATTGTAGCGCCCCTGTATCTGTGATTCAGACATCAGAGTTGTTGTGTTTTCACTGCAACCAAAGGGGCCACAAGATGGCCAATTGCCCCCAGTTGATGGCATCAGTGCCGATTAAGGCGCCGACTCCAGCTACCCTGCGGATTACAGATGGCCAGCAGGGTAAGGCCAGAGGCTCTAGTGGTGAGGAGCCGGGCATTTCAGCTGACGACAGAGGAGGCACGCGCCGCACCCGATGTGGTGACGGGTATGATCCTTTCCATCTACTTTATTTTTGTGATGTTATGATATTGATATGTGCTTTTGTGTATATGCGTTAGGATCGTTCCATGTGAACGATATTCCTGTTCAGGTGTTGTTTGACTCGGGTGCCACCCGATCATTTGTTTCCCTTACACTTAGCAAGAGGTTTACTGAGTCTTTGGGTATGTTGGATTGCCCTTTAGAGGTAGAGATTGTGTCCTAAGGTTATTTGAGGAGCGCTATTTGGTGGATTTGGTTCCTATCCCTTTGCGGGGGAACAAGGTGATTATAGGCATGGATTGGTTGAGCCCTAATGGGACGGTGATAGATTGTGCACATCAGTTAGTGCGGATCAGGATCCCAAGTGGGGGAGAGTGGGTGATCCACGGCGAGGGGCCGCAACGTGGACCTACATTATGTTCAGCAGCGAGAGCTAGGCGCTACCTTCAGCAGGGTTGCGCGGGATATGTCGCGTATGTTTTGGATAGCCAGGAGACGGGTAAGGCGACGGTGAGCGAGGTTCCAGTTTTGCGAGACTACACTAATATGTTCCCGGAGGAGCTTCCTGGAATACCTCTGGAGCGTCAGGTAGAGTTCAGGATTGACCTAGTTCCTGGTGCGGCTCTGATAGCCAAGGCACCCTATCGGTTGGCTCCTCCCGAGATGCAGGAGTTGTCTACGCAGCTACAGGAGCTGCTAGACAAGGGATTTATTTGACCGCGCAGTTCACCCTAGGGAGCCCCGATCCTGTTTGTGAAGAAGAAGGACGGGTCGCATCGGATGTGTATAGATTATCGGGAGCTGAATAAGATGACGGTGAAGAACCGTTACCCACTCCCGAGGATTGACGACCTCTTTGATCAGTTGCAAGGAGCATCTTGGTTCTCCAAGATCGATTTGCGCTCAGGATATCATCAGATGAGGTTCAGAGAGGAGGATGTGCAGAAGACCGCGTTTCGGACGTGTTATGGCCATTATGAGTTCGTGGTGATGCCGTTTGGGCTCACCAATGCTCCTGTCGCGTTCATGGACCTCATGAACCACGTGTGTAGACCGATATTGGATCGGTCTGTGATAGTTTTTATTGATGACATCTTGGTTTATTCCAAGACACAGGAGGAGCACGAGGAGCATCTAAGAGAGGTTTTGGAAACCTTAAGGAGGGAGAGTTTGTACGCCAAGTTCTCTAAATGTGAGTTTTGGTTGCGCGAGGTGCAGTTTCTTGGGCACCTCGTCAACCAGAATGGGATTTCAGTAGACCCGGCCAAGGTGGAGGCCGTGATGAGATGGGAGGTTCCGAAGTCTCCATCCGAGATTCGGAGTTTCCTAGGATTAGCAGCCTACTATCGGAGATTCATTCAGGATTTCTCCAAGATAGCCGTACCCCTGACACGGTTGACTAGGAAGGCCGTGGTCTTTCGATGGGGGCCTGAGCAGCAAGCAGCGTTCAAGATTCTAAGATAGAGATTGTGTGAGGCGCCAATCTTAGCCATGCCCGAGGGCGTAGAGGATTTTGTGGTATATTGTGATGCGTCCATCTCGGGTTTGGGCGCGGTATTGATGCAGAGGGGTCATGTCCTTGCTTATGCCTCGAGGCAGCTGAAGCCTCACGAGGCGAACTACCCGACGCATGATTTAGAGTTAGGGGCGGTGGTCTTCGCCCTCAAGATTTGGCGGAATTACCTCTACGGGGTTCGATGTACCATTTACACGGACCACAAGAGTTTGAGGTACCTCATGGATCAGTCGAATCTGAACATGAGGCAGCGTCGGTGGTTGGACGTGGTGAAGGATTATGATTGCGAGATCCTTTACCACCTGGGGAAGGCCAACGTGGTGGCCCAATGCGCTTAGCCGTAAGGCGACACCGATCATGGATGTGTGTATGAGGATGACGGTGGTGACCCCACTGTTAGAGCAAATTCGGGAAGCTCAGCAGGAGGCTATGAAGGAGGAACATCGGAAGAGTGAGCGAATAATGGGTCAAGTCACCTCCTTTGATTATGATAACCAAGGATTATTAACACTGCACCGTAGGGTGTGGGTTCCGTATCTCGGAGGCATGCGCCAGATCTTGATGGAGGAGGCGCACAAATCCCGATTCTCTATTCATCCAGGGCGACGAAGATGTATAGGGATCTTCGTCTAGACTATTGGTGGCCCTGCATGAAGCGGGATGTGGCATGGTACGTCGAACGGTGTTCGACCTGCAGGAAGGTCAAGCCCCGAGCATCAGAGACCGCACAGCAAGATGCAACCGTTGGATATCCCGTTGTGGAAATGGGAAGATATTACGATGGATTTTATCACGAAGCTTCCCAGGACTGCGCGAGGAGTAGATTCGATTTGGGCCATCATGAATCGATTGACCAGGAACACCCATTTTATCCCGATCTAGGAGAGTATCTCGGCCGAAAAGTTAGCCGATATCTGTATCAGGGAGATAGTGGCGCGACACGGGGTGCCAGTGTCAGTGATATCAGACCGAGATGTGCGGTTCACTTCCAGATTTTGGAAGAAGTTTCATGATGAGTTAGGCACTCGTCTACATTTTAGCACCGCCTTTCACATGCAGACAGATGGTCAGAGTGAGCGGACCATCCAGACTTTGGAGGATATGTTGCGGGCATGCGTGTTAGACTTCGGTGGTAGCTGGGATACCTATCTTCCATTGGCTGAGTTCTCATACAACAATAGCTACCGCGCGAGTGTTGATCGTCCCCCATTCGAGATGTTGTACAGACGGAGGTCTAGGACCCCGATATGTTAGGGTGAAGTTGGTCAGAGGGTCATGGGAAGCACCGAGGTGGTGCTCAAGACGACCGAGAGGATCCAGCAGGTTCGAAGCAGGCTTCAGACTGCGCAGAGTCGGCAAAAAAGTTACGTCGACAAGCGTCGATTAGACCTGGAGTTCTAGGTCGGGGATATGGTTCTCCTGAAGGTGTCGCCTTGGAAAGGCGTCATTCGATTAAGGAAGTGGGGTAAGTTGTGCCTGAGATACATTGGTCCGTACAGGGTTATAGCCCGGGTGGGCAAGGTGGCATATAGGCTGGATTTGCCAGCCCAGCTCAGTCAGATCCACAGCACCTTCCATGTTTCTCAGCTGCGGAAATGCCTAGTGGTTGATTCAGCGGTGGTGCCGCTAGAGGATATATAGGTGGATAACAGTCTGAATTACATTGAGCGCCCAGTTGCAATCCTCGACCGGAAGTCGAAGGATTTGAGGAACAAGAGGGTGGAATTAGTAAAGGTGCAATGGCAGCACTGAAAGGGTTCAGAATGGACTTGGAGTCGGTGGAAGAAATGATGGAGCATTACCCCGAGCTGTTTCAGGATCGAGCAGCAAACTTCGAGGACGAAGTCTAAAATAAGTGGGGGGAGATTTGTAGCACCTGCTTCCTGGTACGTAAAACTTATCTTGGTGTTTTTCATTTTAGCCTTGGACTCGGCGAGTTGAAGGCCCGACTCGGCGAGTAGAGGCGGGATCTGGAACACGTTTAAGTTGGCGACTCGGCGGGTCCATATTTTGGACTCGGCGAGTCGCCGCTGTCTAATGAAACCCTAAATTTCAAGAGCAGCACCCTATTTAAGCCCTCTTATCCGCCCCAAGCTCGCCCCCTTCACCCTCAGAGCTCCCTATATCGTCCAACCCTTGTTCCTTGTGAGATTGAGGTGTTTTGGTGTGTTTTCTTGAAGATTTTGAGAGACAAGGAGAGTAGATCAAGAAGAGAAGAAGGAGGCCAGACATCTTGGTATTATTTCAGTGATTCCCTTGAGGTATAACTCAACTTCCCCCTGTTTTCATGCTTATTATCCCTTGTAGCTCCATGAAAGTCCTTCTTGAGCCTTTCCCCAAGCTTGTTTGTGTATTAGAGTTGATAATAAGTTGTTTAGCCTCTAGATCTAGGCATGATTCAGCTCCAGGAGCTTGGATCTACTGCCTTTATGGAGCCATAGTGCATGAAAGCCCTAGATCTACTCTTTTGGTGCATTTTGAGCCCTAAAACCCTCATGGATGTTTATTTACACGTAAAGTTGGAAACTTTACGTGTAAACCAGGCCCTAGAAACCCAGATCTATGAATGACATGAGCTAGATTCAAGTAGAATCGCGTGTATAGTATTTGCATGCGGCAGACTCGGCGAGTCGTTCATCTGACTCGGCGAGTCGAGTCGCGAGTCCCCGAGTTTTTCCCTTTTTTGTGTTTGCGGGTTGGAGTAGTGAGTCATAGGGTGTGACTCAGTGGGTTGGAAGTCATACTCACTCATGTAGTAACTCGGCGAGTCAATGCCATGACTCGGCGAGTTCAAGGCAATCTTCTTGCCTCAAGAACGGACTCGGCGAGTTGTTCATACAACTCGGCGAGTCTCAGCATAGAGTGTTCTTTAGATGAATACGAACTCGACGAGTTGTTCATACAACTCGGCGAGTAGAATGAAGAACGTTGGTCATCAGCTTAGAAGGAAAACTCATCGAG